ATTGCTGGATCACATTCATTACTAAAACAGCGGTCAGCGCCCTTAAGTACCGAACCTCGCAGCGCTTGTAAATAGAGATTCGGAGGAATCTACGCAAAGTAGGTGAACCGAAATTACCTGATCTTCACCCGTCACGCGTTGAAATTACTTAACACAATTCGTCTTTCAAACTGCCTCCGCCCAGACGCTTTCCCAAAAGTTGTTAACAAAATTGAAACTTGCACCGCGCCAATCTCATTAGGACTATTTTGTATCTCGCCCTCTGATGATATTTTGCCTGCTGCGTAAACTCGGGCGGAGCAAAAGAGAGAAAGATGGCAGAGAGAACGTGAAAGGGTGCGGGACGTGGGAGAGTGTGGAGGGGGTGGGAGCAGGGGGAACGGGACAGGGCACAGGGAAGGGAGTGACAAGTGAAGCTGAGAGAGAAAGAAAGGGACGTGCGACGGGAGTGGGAGAGAGCCGGGTTGAAGCGGAGAGCGAGAGGGAAATGGAATGAAGGAGAATGCCAGGAAGGAAACGGAGAGCGAGGTAGAAAAAAAAGGGCGGAAATTGGAGACGGAAGTCAGTGCGAGGGAGCGGAGGGGCGGAGAGAAGCAGGAAAGGAGAGGGGCGCGAGGGGGAAGGGGGGGCGGGCAGGGCTGAGCGGGAAGGAGCGGTGGAGACGAGCGGAGAGGGCGAGTGGGACTGGAGCGCGGTTGTGGAGCGCGGTGGAAGGAGGCGGAGAGGGTTCGGAAGTAGGAGCCAGGCCACCGCTTGGGGCAGGGCTGAGCGGGCGGAGGCGGGCGGAGAAGCGGAGAGGGCGGTGCGAGAAGGAGCGGGGGCGAGCGGGGCGGAGGCGGTGGAACGGAGGGCGGGAGAGGGTGCGGCAGTGCAGGCGCACCGGTGGGGGCAGGGCTGAGCGGGCAGGAGCGGGCGGAGAGAGCGGAGAGGGCGGTGCGAGAAGGAGCGGGGCGGAGCGGGGCGGAGCGCGGTGGAAGGAGGCGGAGAGGGTGCGCAGTAGCAGGCCCACGTGGGGGCAGGGCTGAGCGGACAGGAGCGGGGGGAGAGGAGCGGAGAGGGCGGTGCGAGAAGGAGCGGGGCGGACGGGGCGGAGCGCGGTGGAAGGAGGCGGAAGATGGTGCGAGTAGCAGCCCACGCTGGGCAGGGCTGCGCGGCAGGAGCGGGCGGAGAAGAGCGGAGAGGTGGGCGCGAGAAGGAGCGGGGCGGAGCGGGGCGGGGCGGTGGAAGGAGGCGAGAGGGTGCGGCAAGTCAGCAGGCACGTGGGGCAGGGCTGAGCGGGCAGGAGCGGGGCGGAGAGAGCGGAGAGGGCGGTGCGAGAAGGAGGCGGGCGGAGCGGGGCGAGCGCGGTGGAGAGGGGAGAGGGTGCGGCAGTAGCAGGCCCACGCTGGGAGGGCTGAGCGGGCAGGAAGAAGCGGGGCGGAGAAGAGGGGAGAGGGGAGTGATCGACGAAGGGAGCAAGGGGCGGAGGCGGGGCCGGAGCGCGGGTGGGAAAGGAGGCGGAGAGGGTGCGCAGTAGCCAGGCCACGCTGGGGGAGGGCTGAGCGCGGAGCAGGAGCGGGGGGAGAGAGCGAGAGGGAGGTGCGAGAAGGAGCGGGGCGGAGCGGGGCGGAGGCGGTGGGAAGGAGGCGGAGAGGGAGGGCAGTAGCGGGCCCACCGCTGGCGCTAAATTTGCCAAAGGTGGCAGCGACCGCTCGGGAATAGACGTGGAAATTAATTCGGTTCCTACATGGATTCACATATTTTTCGCCCCTGACGGCCCCGGAAGCGCGCCCGTTGCCAAAGCGGCCCGAGGAAAAGTGATATACCGAGAGCGAGGCCTTCGTTTCACCGGAGGTGCGTGATAAAATTGCGCCATTCGTGCAAACTCGAGCGGAAAACAACAGTAAAATAAATAAAACTAAATACACTACGCGCTAAAGCGCGAAGGACGGCGCGGAAAAAGCATACAGAACGGATTGGATTCGCCTACAGGCGTCCGACGCCCAATGAAATAGTGGTAACGCAAGGCAAGAAACAGCCAATATATTACGCATTGAATTCTGACTCATCGTTTGCCGTTTTGGTTTTTCGAAATTACTCGTTTTAGTGCTTTGTTGAATATTTCCTTATTTTACTGAAAGAGATGTTTTGTGTAGTTTTGTGTAATGAAATAGTACTAATAATTTATCTAATTTAATAAATGATAATTTATATAATGTAACAAATTCATTACAACAGAAGTTGGTATTACTAAATTTAGATTGTGAATAGATGTGCATTACAAACACTCATCAAGATCTAGAAATACTCACCATCTAAATTACAATATGAGAGACTTTTCTGAAAAAAGCAAAAAATTACATATAATGATTTCTTATCGTTCTTACTCGACCTTTTCATTCAACTAAATTTTTCCATGTATTCGACAGAAAAACCTTTGTCCCTTAAAAAAAGTAACCAAGAAAATTATCGTACCAAAAATAACAAGATTCTATTTTTCATTTCATCAAACCGCCTTTCTACACGACGTTTCCCAAACATTCGTTTTATTTCGCCTTAAAACTCGAAAACAACCTGGGTGTCGTGATATGAAGCGCCGTATCCAGCCTCACCTCCCCACGAGCGATCACCGCCAGACAAGCCCAGTTTTTCTTCCCCGTCTCCTCGTGGCTTTAACCTCAGAGGCGCTTTTTTATGATGCGTGCATGTTTTATGCTTGGCTGAATACCCAGCAACAGACTTCGATTACTCTTCTCGCCATAAAGAAGACAAATGAAAGTAAGATACACGGCGGAGAGGTTTACGATTCGCCGGGGCGTCCTCGGACTCCGCCGGCCTCCTCCCCTCGCGCGCCCCCTGCGCCCTTCGGAACGCGATATTTATGGAGATATTTTTGCGGCAAAGCTGGTGATCACCGGAGGTTACCTCCAACGCGCCGCGAGTGATGGCAGCTGTGACGCGGGCTTTACAGCTTGCATTCTTTACAGTCGTAATTTCGTGAAATATAGAGGCGGTTAGGTAAATCTTTCGGCCGGCACGCTTTATGCCGGGCGAGGGAAGTTTCTTGTTCGCACCGACGAACTTTTAGTACGACTTAACTCCGAGGCATAGTTGGGCGGCGGGGAATCGTATTAGCGGTGTGGTCGAAGGAACAAGGCATTTGGCGCTGCATCCTCAATTCGTACGTCGCAAAAATCAAAGGTACAAAAATTCCGTTCATTGAGGGCGTATTATACAAACGGAGATCAATTAGGTCTGAAGAAGTATTACACAGCTGTAGGGGGTGAAAAGTCACTTACATGTAGCGTCAGTGAAAACCACAGAATTCAGTGGAATTCAGTCAGAAATACCAAGAACTCGAGCGGAATTTCTGCTCGTCTATAGCCAACTTCGCAGGTGTACAAAGGACGAAATAGACTCCGCTCTCGTCTGCTAAAAAACTACAAAGTACAAGCAAAAATTCTGGAAAAAAGCAGGCAAGCGCATACATCACGGAACAGCTGCAGAAAAAAGGTGAGTCGGAGATAACCATAAGGCATACTAATGTAGTTTTGAGATACGGCTCATTTAAAGTTTGCAGTATCCAAGTAAATGAGTGTAGAAGCGAAACAATTAAGTAGCCTGTTATCTAAAGCAAATTTTGAAATTAGAAATACTGTGCAGAAAAAACACGAGAAGAACATTGTTACTAGGAGTAGTTACTAGGAGTGGAACTACAAGTGGTGGAGAAATTGAAACAACGAATGATAGATGAAGAAATTAAGGAAGTCATCTCCGTCAACGTGTTAAGTTGACCGAAGTCTCATGGTTGTCTCGTTCCGACCTTTCGCTCGCCAAGAGAAGCAGCAAGGAAGCGGGGAAGCGGGCGCGGTGAAGACGGAGCAAGCGAAGCGCGCGGGACGGCACGCGCTGTGCGGCGTCGCAGCCGCGCTCGTTACCTTCGGCCGCGTCTTCCTCGCGCGGCGCGCGCCGCCGCTGGGTCGCGCAGCCCGCCGGACGCGCAGCGGCCGCGCGGCGGGTGCGGCGGCGCGGCCAGCGATTGACCGATCGGCGCGCCGGGCGGCCTCATCTGCGGCGCGGCGCGCGACCAAGCCGCGCTCGCTCGACTCGACGCGCTCTCCGCCCGCCCGCCCGCCCGCCCTCCCGCCCCCGTCCACACCCCGGGCAGCGGCGCCCGACCGCCCGCCCGCCCACCCGGATCGAAGAGGCGACCCTCGACCGAGGACCCGCGACCGGCCCAACCCACCGCCCGCGACCGACACCGCGACGACCACGGCGTCAACAAACAGCAGACAATAACAAAAATACGCGTCGTCATCGACGGGGGACATGCGCGCACCGGGGCACGCGTACCGCGTTGGCGAGATTTACCCCGCTGCTCCCGCCGCCGCAGCCGCCGCAGCCAGCGGCCGCCTCCGCAGCCGCCGCCCGCTCCACCGCCACTTTGCGGGTTCCGGAATGTCAGGCGCCACTCGGCAACTGCGGCGCCGACTGCTCCGGCGCGCTAGCGGCCGCCGCAGCCCGCTCCCGCGACCGCGGCGGCCGGGCGCGGGCGGGGCGCGGCGTGGAGATGCGGGTGGCGGCGCGGCGGCGCGGTGCTAGCGCCAACATCCAGGCCCGCGCGCTTCTGCGTCGTCTGTAGCCGGCCCCCCTCTCGGGCGCGCTGCCCGCCTGCGCCGACGCCCCCGCCGCCGACGCCCGGTGGCGCGCCGTCGCTCCCTCTCTGTCGCGCCGCTGCGCCGCCCGCTCCGCGCCCGCTCCGCGCCGCTCCGCGCCCTCCCGCCCGTCTTAATTCGCTCCCCCGGCGCCCTCGCCCGTCCTCCCGTCGGCCCCCGCCGCCCCCAGCCGACCCCCGGCGCCACGTTCCGCACTCGCCCTCCCCACCCCGCCCCGCTCTGCGCTGCACTTAACATCCGGGCTTCGATTATCCGCTGCCCCGCTAACTGAGCGCTCTGTTAATCCGGGGAGTCACTCGGGGCGCGGCGGTCTGGGCCGGGGCCCCGATTCGCAATCGCGTGTTTTTACATGGAGCGACCGCCGAACGCCGCTGACGGGGTAAATGGCTTCGGCGGTCGGGAAGCGACGCGCCCTTCCTGCGGGCGGCAACTCAAGGAGCTGCGCAGCGGGAGAAGGCAGAGGCACTTGCCTCCGCCTGGGCCGCGGAGACTTTCTCGATACTGCAGCCCTTGTTTTAATACCTATATACGAGTATTTTAACAAAGATTATTGGATATTTATAAGTTATATTATGAAATTAAAATATAATAATATTTACTACTGAGACATTTTTGTTTGTCTATCAAGTGAACAAATATTTTTCGTCCCAAATTACTCAATGTTATTCGTACGTACTATTGAAGGTGAACACGTCTTTAATTACTTCCATTCCAGTCAGAAATATAATTATGCTATTCATTGAAAAAGCTTATTTTATTTCACTCAGATTATAAGAACGAATTTATTTAAAAATATTTATATCAATAAAATACTTTTAGAGGTATAATTAATTGATATTCATCGAATACGTATTTACACTCGAATAGACATTTTTACAGCAGATAAAAACAATGATTTTTTTCTTCGTTTTATTTTCTTAACACGTGAAAGATATTCGTACTGTCAAAATTTCACTTGGTTTCAATTATTGTTAAAATCCATTAAATACTTTTTTCAAATATTTTTAATAGCATTAAACATTCAGTTAGTATTGAGTACGTAATGAAATCAACAGAATCAACTATCTGACGTAAAAGAATGTAAATGCAAGGGTAAAAAGTGTAATAAAAATTGTGTTATTACTCCCAAATTGTGACATTAGAATTATTACTTCCAAATATATTTTAAGTGGCGAAGAATATAAATATGCTGTTGTCGCGTCTCAAAATATCTTTCCTCTTTTTCTTTTTTTTCAAAATTAAAATGGATATGGGCGGTGTTCGCCAGGGAACTTACCCGAGTACCCAGTCGTCGCGTTGCGTTCCACGGCCTCAGTTAACCCTCTCCATATTGCGATGATTCAATTTTCCCGTAAACAGGTTAATATTTTAACATGGATGTACGTTATGATGATAATAATAATTATGAAAAGGATGAATATTGTGATGACAGAACGGGTACGTGTGCCTATTCCTTGAAGTCACGAAGAAGAAGAAGAAGAAGAAGAAGAAGAAGAAGAAGAAGAGGAAGAAGAGGAAGAAGAGGAAGAAGACGAAGAAGAAGGGTTTAAGTATTTCATATATTTAAATGTGAAAGATTATGTTAATGTTATTCTCTGGTGGAAACACCGAATGGCAAACAATTCCTACATAATAAAAAGAGATCAAACAAGAACAAAAAATGTATATGTGATATCAATTGAAAAACATGTTTGAAAATTGTTTACTTTATATTTGGAAGATGAAACTGCACAATTGCCGAGAGTATTTTACTTATTTCCTTATTAATGTATTCATTTTTTAGTGAGTATAGCTTATTAAAATTTTCAGTTACAACAACGCTTACTAAGAGATGGCAATGATAAGTAAATGAGCACTGAGTTTCTTCAGCTAGTACAAAATTTGTAACTTTTGTCTGAAGGAAAATTTGTAATTTTTTGTCTGAAGTAAACTTTACCAAAATGAGATCAGCATCGTATAAGCGCATAAATGTTTTTATAAACCATTTTCAACAATTAACTTCTAACAACATCAATCTCTCTCTTTTCACAGGATGAAAACGAAATTTAAACAGAAATGATGGTTCATTAGTATTTTTGCATAGTGAATAAAATATTGTACGAAACTCGCATTATTTTGCTAATAATAGGATGGTTAACACACTCTTTGTTTGGTAATTCTTTAATCACGTATTGTAAGATGTCTTAGGATAAATTTGTTTAATTACAGTAAAAATAAAATAATTAATTTGAAATATGTTGTAAGAACATTAATATTTTTGTAAACAAATAATATGACACATCTCCATAGTTCAAAAATCCCACAACGTACAATACTGGGTGTTTAGTACATAGAAATACCCAAGACATCGGAATCTTCAATATTTTGTATCTACAGATTAGGAGTTAAAAGCGAGTTATGCAACCCGCATAACAATCAAAATGCTGTTTTCCTAATGTTCATTAACAGTTATTAATTTCCATTCTGTACCTTTGTACAAAATTGCTTAATGCAGATCATTATTGTTTTAAATATATAATTTAGGAAAATTAAGGTAAAAAGTGTTTATTTAAATCATCTATTTTCACAAAAATAATAAAATAGTTATATGAATTAATTTAGTCAATTTATTGAAATCATTCCTATTTTCGTAAGACACTTTTTAACGAGACGTATGTAAGTTGTATAATTGTAGTACAAGCAAATTGTATGAGCAGTGAATTAAAATTCTAATTTATTTTCTTCTAGATATTAATTTATATTGCAAACAGAAAGAAATAAGTCTTGGTTTACGCTTCTGTAATGAATTAACATTTTTATACCTGTGATTCCAATTTCTGATGTACTTTTTCTCATCCTACTGTCAATCCTAGTCTCATTCTAGATTTATTTCCTTTCTCTTTCTCCAGAACGTCATTCACATAGATTGCCAAACATTTCCATATCTTATTGGCCATATCCTACTTTGTAGTTTGCTTTTAAAAATACTGAGTTTCACACTTCTCAAATAATTTATTTCATTTGGTAATGATTGTAACTTTCAGAAGTAAATTCCGTGGTGGTAGTAGATATCTTGTAGTAATCCATGGTATTGTAAAGGAAATAATCTCCACAAAAGTTTTAATAATTTTATTAACAATTTTCCTAGTTAATTTTCGGAGATCCACGTTGCTTGAGAGTAAGTTATTTTCTTTTTGTATTTATATGATATTATTTGTTTTTCCACTAAATTCACTGTACACCCCTCCCATCGTTTTGTGTTCAACTTATGTTTGTTTCATTTCTCAATTTTGCTAGAGATCCATTGAGGATGGGAAAAATGTTTCCCGAAAGTTAACTATGGAAAATTGTTAATAAAATTATTAAAACGTTTGTGAATATTATTTCCTTTACAATACTATTTCAGAAGTATTTTACTTTCTATTTATTATATGATAGCGATCAAAAGTCTACACTAGATAGCTTTGCTTTTGTTTAACTACGTCGTTATAGAATATTACTGAAATCTGTACAATTAATTTTAACTTTATGAGGAGCTTCTGAGTATTATTACAAATCCCTTCATGCGTTTAGACGAAGTTTGTTTACAGCTTGAAAGCTGATTAAATCAATTTACTATATATTCCTAATGTTAAGCTCGGTTAATATTTAATAGGCAGTAACAAGATATAGTGTTCCGAGACATATATGTAACCTGCTTCGTTACCAACTTACAATCTGAAAGTTATATTATCATTACCACGGATTAATCTAACACAAGCAGAGGGCGAAGCTGTGAACGCGGAATGCGGGAGCAAACTTTTTCATTGAACCGTTGCAGCAATGGCCGAGATTCGTTTGGCCAGAACTTGACCTCGGTGCGTCGCACCACGGTCCCTATTGGGGAAATTGGCGGACAAAAATCTTCCTTCAATAAATTCGCATCTACAGTTCCGTGGTTCAGAAGATCCCAGTAGCCATTCTAGTGTAGACACATTTGACACCAGCTCAATAATTTGGTCGAAACGGGCGACAGTCTGCAGAAGATTTCTAGAATCCCGATAACGTGATGTCTTGTACGTATATTTAACTTTCTCGTACACGTACGTATATACGAAGAAATTTACTTAGTGTAGAGGAAGATATGTAATTATGTGGCAAATCAATTTTCAGAGTTTAACAAAAAAAACTAGTTTTGGAGTCCCTAATAAGGATATAGTATTGTGTTGTTGTTTTCCAAAACAATTGCCATCTCTGAACAACAATTCCGGAAAATGTTCGTGAAATGTGCTCCAAAATAAATAGTCTCCAATCGATCTGATCGGATTCAAATTCCTCCTAGTTTAAAAAATTCATTAAACTCTTTTAGGTACTTTATATACATTCCAGGGACTTTTTCTTCAATAAAGGAAATTACGCTTACTGAAGTGGTACATGAACCATTTCCGTGGAACTCTCTGACATTTCGTTTGATTGTGTGATTATTAGTGTTTCCAGACTCGTCAACTACTATGGGCATTAGACCAATTAATGTAGAGCTTCATTTGCTTGGGAGGAGGCGGTGGTCTAACCCCGCTGAATGGCGAGATTCGGCGCCGACCTACCGTAGGCTAGCGGGGTTGTCCCTCACCAAGTATCTCCCACCAGCGGGGCAGCACCCCAGACGAGACAAGCTGTAAGCTCCCGACCGGTCTCGCGGCATGTGTGGTAGTGTATGCTATGTTACAGTAAGTGAGTTTAAGAATTGATCATAGGACAAGGAAGAAGTATGAACGGGACCGTGGCCCGTTTGTTAGGGTACTACACGCGGCATTCGTCTGCTGTTGATCGGAGAAACCCCAGAAAACTACCGATCAGAGTATCCGGGCGCTAGAAATCTCCTCCACACAGCTATTGAATTCGAACAAGCTGACAAGCTAGTGACGAAAATCCTACCACCGTTGGGACTCGAACCTAGGACCTCCCGATCAGAAGGACTGCAGTGACATCAGTTGATGCCGTGATCAATCTCTCCCGGCCTGGCCCTTGGAAATTTGCAAAAGCTACAAGTAACGCTAAAACTCATGTGCTGTTGAAGCACCACTAGTTTCTCTTCATATGCCCTTGAATCATGAAAATAACACAATCCAATCAAATGCGTTTTGACCGCCCTTTGCGCCCTTCAAACCCCCGAGCGCAGGCGGCTCTAAGCCTCAACTCCAATAACAAGGTCCGGCGCTGCGCCATTTCACAGCCCTGGTTGGGCACGCTCCTCCCACGCCGAATGTGTGCTCCGACCCGATTGGCTTTTAATTTGCTTCGGTGCTTTTTTAAATTCGCGAATTCCCGAGTGAAAATGACGACGTCCCCCCTCCCTTGATTAACCTCGCTCGCAGATCGCAGGGCACCAATCTGACACAGCGCTGCAGAGGGAACGCTTTGCAGCTTTGGAGGGTGACACTGTTCAAGTCAATTTTCAAATTAGAGAATGGAATGCACTCCAGGTAGCGCCGCTTCCCTTTGGTTCACCGCAATGTTAGAAAGGCACAAAGTTGGTACAGGACTAACAGAATTGATATTCAAAACTTTCAATATGCAATATAATCAGTCTACAATATTGAGAATTAATCTCATTTAATTTATGGTCATTCTATACGCCAATCTTCATTTACTCTGTTCAGTGAAACAAATTTATAGGGACCTAAGTCAGCAGAATTTTTAAAAAAATTACCTTCATGGGAGGACTCAAAATGTAAATGAGAGCCTCAATAACTGCATATTGGAACGCATCCCAAAAATGTTTTTGTTGGAGCTCACACTCTGAAAATTGGTGTTACTTAATTAACAAAATTGTTGTTATGGATGCAGTACTATCATACATTGATGCTGAAGAGGAAAGAAAATAATTTTTAGAACAAATGGGGATAAATGTTGGATACAACTGTGCATTGACAGAGAACGCATATATTATGCCAACCGAGCATATGAGGCCATCACAAAGCAAGCAAGAGTTGAAAAAATACTGAACACCTAAAGAAAGCTGCAAGATGATGTCCGGAATGATTATTCTCCTGGAGTGTACTAAGGTGTATACTTTTTTAACTGCTAATTTCAATATATTTTTCTCGTAAAACACGTTTTTTATTATAATTGTACCTTTTCTCAGAAGTGTGTTGTCTAATCTAAATGAAGTTTTAAACGAACAAAGAAGATACATGATTGTTTTGGATAAGTAGAATTATTACTGTAGCAACAATAAAACTCTCCACTAATGTTAATCATAACCAGAAATTGTAAAAAAAATGTGTATTTTCAAAGAAATTATCACAATCATTGCAATCATCTTGGAGTAATAATTTTTGTTATCAATATTCTAGTACATAGTTAAATTACGGGAGAAAAATTTGAATGAATTGTGATTGTTAGTTTTTGAGGAAAAGAAACAATAGTTTTCCTACAACGTCTTTCTTCAAGTTTATTATCAATATTACATATTTCAAAAACTATAATATTTACTCTAATGATTAATTCAGGAATTGTGAATGAATATATTTTAAAGCTGACTTCAGATTTCCAAAGCAACAGAGCAATGTTTTCCAAAGATATTAATTTTGCAAACAGTATCATATTTTGGGGCATGACCTCACTAAACGGTTACCTTAAATGTAGTGCATGCTTTAACTCCTTGAGTGGCGGTGGTCTTTCCCCGTTTGATGGCGAGAAACGTCGCCGACCTACACATCGGCTTGCAGGGTTTTCACCAACAAGGTATCTCCCACCAGCGGGGCACTGCCCCAGCCGCGACAAGCTCTATGCTCTGACCTCGAATCACGAGAATGGCGGTGTTGGAAGTTCATATCGCGAATCGAAAACCGCTGCGTAGGAAGGACGACGAGACGCATCGTCACAAGCCAGAAAGTCGCCAGTGGCGAACGATCCGTTCCCTTCTTCCAACGGCGTGGGAACGTTCATTTTAGACGCATATCCACGTCATTAGTGCAAGGGAGGGCAATTAAGCTCCCACGTTTGCAATTATTATCTGTTGGGAACGCTTGTGGGCTGTACTCGTCATTGCTACAGAACCTGTACTCATTCGAAACTCAGTAGGATTCGTTATAAACCACGAGGGTGTGGTATTAAGATTCCAAACTCAAATCTCAGTCGAAAAATAACACACAATACATTTCGATGAGAGTTTTAACAGAAAAGTATAAGATAATGCCGTCGGTGCATAAGAAAATTGACAAATTCCGAACTAGTGGTAATAAGAAACGGTACAAACTTTTTCGTATACGTAAGCTTTCTAATCTCTTTAGCGCATGTTACCTTATCCGGAGTTGCCACTCAGTCTTTCCAACTGCTACCTATTAATGCCTAAAAGACGTTCTTTACATTTTCTTAATGTTTTGCTTCCCTAATAGTAGAATGATTATAAGAATAGTGTAGATGAATAAAACATGGTACAATATGTAAATTTTCATTGAACAATTTGAAGACGTTATGGAGAAAATGTCATTTGAGTGTTCATTAAAAATATTTTAAGTACTTGTGCTCACAAATAATGGTCCGTAATTTAAAAAGTCATGAATTGGGATCTAATTTAAAACATTCTCTGTACTATGTATGTATTGTGCGAAAGTAAAAACTGATATTTTTCACGGCCAAAGTTTTTACCTGAGTGATCCCGTTGATTTTGCGTCCGAAGTCAGAGTTAATCATTTATGAAAGTATTTATATTTTTGACATTAAACAGTGAAATACAAGTGTTTACTACGAATAGTCAGGTTGATCAAATCCTGAAATTTTCAACTGTCAGTACAAATAATTTCTTTTGTATGTTACAATCTCCAAGGAATAATACCATAGTTTCAGAGAAATCCAACATTCACTACTCGATGTCAGAGTAACCCGGAAACTTTCAGATCGACATGCTGTAATAGTGACTTATTTCTTGGGAGCAAAATATAAATGAAAGCATAGAATCCCTAAATGTTCTCAAGGAACTGCAGTTTGATAACCAGAGAGAAGAAACGATATACATGATTCTACATGAAGGTGCACGTGAAAATATATTGCGACCGCCACTATTTTTTATTTAAAGAAACAAACGTCCTGGCTGTCCCTTAAGGCGTGGTGCCTCAAATTACACTCCCCTGATCTGAGTGCAGATGATTGTTTACGAAGAAATTTGGTGAACAATCAGTTATGACTTTGCAAGAGTTTGTCACTACAGCATACATACATTTTTCTCATTGAATTTTACAACCTTGATCCAAGGGCTTTGGAAACGTACTCGATAGTGGCACATACTATATTCAAAAAGAATTCAAACACATAATTACAAAACAAACATAACATTCTGAATTCTTAAAAAGGGAATGTTCAAAAACACAAATGAAATCAACTATTTCAAAACTACATGCACTCAGTTACAATAAATTCCTTCTTGGATTTGTATAATTATAACTTTGGCACTTTAGAATAACTGTCAAAAGTCATTATTAAAATTTGTACTTTTAAATACTGCCAAACTTTCTAACACTTATCTGATTGCTTTGTAATAAAGTTAACTTTTAAATACAATGCTTCTTTTCAAACACCCGTTCATAATTTAATTGAACTGTAAAATTATCTAACATTACACTTAAATTGAAATCATCCAATTCTTTTGTAAAGAATTCGTCTAAAAAATATTCTTCCTTTCGATTCAAATGCTTTTTTCAATTACTGAATATTTAATATTTAATTCTGCAATAATGAAAACCAGAGAGAATGTATACTGCAATAAACGATAGCGTTTCTAATGGTAACTGGAAATGTTAAAACTAGACACAGTCTCTTGCAAATAATACAAGGCATTCGCAAAATAGTTCTGTTATAACTCCTACACGGAATAAGAAATGAAATCAGCAATCTTACTACGGATGGATGTCTGCTTCCTCGAAGGAGCCAATGGGCCGCTATGTAGCGGTGACCCCAACTCGGGATTCTCTCGGCCCCGCAGCTCCAGAAACAGCGCCGTTTGCGATCCTCCGGCGATGTGGCAAGTGGTTCGCTGCCAATGCAGCCAGGAAAGTGTCCACAATGGTCCAGAAATCTCACCCAGATTGCGATTCGGATCAGTTTTATATCAGAACTCTAATATAAAAAGATGTATAACAAGCATGCTTATTAGTACTATCTAATTACAAGAATACGCAGTTTCCTCCCTCGTACATGTTCATGAATAAATTAGTATTTACTTCCAAGAGCTTTTTGAGACGCTTCTAGAGAGCTCCAAATATCCAAACTCGATAGCGCTTTCAACGGTGAACATACCTAATTCTCTGAAGTGATTCTTCTCGTAGTTGCGCTATAGGAATGAGGCCGGGAAAAGCGTTGCATGCAGCGACCTTCTTCCAATACCCCTCCATTTCCCCACGCTATCCCTCCGCACCCCTCTCGCGACAAGGTCGGCGTCTGCCCCTCTCCTTGCCTCGCTGACACTGCGTCGCGCCGTGCTAACTCTGGAGGTTTTCTGCAGTTCCCGAAAGTGCGTTCAGACTTTCACGGGAAAGTGTCTATCCAGCCGGCTCCAGCTGACGCTGCGCGTTCTTTTTTGCCCTTCTGTAGTTGATCTTCTCGTCCACCACCGGCCTAGCATTAATTTATGGTGTTGTGACGTATCCGCAATCTATTAAACGCTAACAATATCACAGCGTTAAATATTTCTTCAAAACATACAAGAGTGAAAGTTAATGGATCATTAGGAGCAACTACACTATGTTTAACTCAATAGCACTGTAATGTCGTGGTGTTTTGTGTCATCATTAAAATCAAGGCATTTTAATTCTTCATTAAAACTACGAAATCACATTGGTACTGAAATATAGTCTAATATATAATAAAATAAACACGTTTTTTTCAGAATTTATAAAATGACTTTTATACCGTTCTGGTTTTCACCCATTCATATATACACATATAAATCCATTTACTGTACAAATACAGATATCATTTTCTGTTATTTCTTTCAGGCATTCTGTTAAAAATGTTAAAACATTCAGTTAGAAAATCTTCACATTCAAAACTAATATTCCGTTATCCTTTCAATAAGATACATCAACAGATGCGACTCGTGCAAAGAGACTTCCCACATGACGAGGCAGTCACCGCAATCGCTCAGAAAGAACGGCACTTTCACACGCCCTTTCGGAAATTTGCACAATCGATGGAAGCCTTGACGCGGTGCATTGATCGCTTGGCGCGACCGGAGACGAGTGCTATCCGATCGCTCACGCCCACTAGGCTAACGCCGCTTGTCAGTGCCGCCGCCCCCACCCACCCCCGCACCCACACCGCTTCCCCAAGGGGGCGGGGGCAGGGGCGGCGACGTGAATGACGCCGGGGCGCGGTGAGGGAGCGGGGGTATGTAGGGGTTAGCGGGGATGTGGTCGGGGTGGGGCCAGTCGCGAAGGAGTGGGAAAGGTTTTGGCCAGAAGCGAGTGGGAGTGGGGAAGAGTTTGAACGGGCTGGGATAGAAATTGGCGGTGATGGAATGGGGGTGGGGTTGGTAAGGGGTTGGCGGCGAGGAGGAATGGTGAGTAAGGAGTTGATGGGGTGTGAAATATAGTGGAATGGTTGTTGTGGAGGCTGGAGATTAGGAAGGGATTTGCGGGAAGGGGACAGGGTGGGAAAGGAGTGAGTGGTGGGTGAAAGAAGTTGTCCGATTGTGAGGGGATTGGGGGTGGGGGTGAAGAGTTGGCGGGGACGGCAGGGGTGGGGTAATACCGGTGGGGAGAGGGTTGAGGGAGGAGTCAGTGGGGGTGGGGTGAGTCGAGGAGAATGCGAGGGGGAAGGAATTGGGCCGATGGGGCCGATGTTGGAAAGGGTTGGTAGGGGTGTGGAAGGAGTTGGCGGGAATGGAACGGGGGTAGGGGAGATGGAAAGGGAGGATAACCGGTTGGAGGGTAGAGGCGATGCAGGGTAAGGGGGTGGGAAGCGGGATCAGGTAGAGCGCCGAACGGGAGATGGATTGTAATAATTATGCACCTGAACAGCACGTAAAATACGGCCCCCATTTATAAGCGCCGTCGATTGGGCGTAATGGAAAGACGAATAATACATTGCGCGGCATAAATAAAATCAGACTGCAAATAATACGTTTTAACTGCCTCGCGCCGCGCCGTGCCGTGCCGGCGCTATTGATTGGGCGCTGTAGTAGGTGCGACTCCGGCACCAACGAGATAATTGACTGGGGATGTACTCGCGGAAAATGCTGTTGCGCTAATGAATATGATTTATACCGGCGCCCCACGTGGTCTGGAGGCCAGCCGGGGGATATCCATCGGCGCTTCTCGGACTTTTCGTTTTTTGTACCACAGCAAATATAAACATTGCGGCAAAGTCTGTGCTATTTGTTTAATTGTTGTGTTTTTGTTTCTACAACCTCAGTCATTTACCGATTAGCATCCAAACGTTTATCGAGAAGTTTTATTTATGAATAAATAAAAAATAAGTGAGAAGTACTAAAAACAGAAAATTAATAATTTTCGAACCCTTATCGCAGTTAGCTGGAGTCAGATTTCTCGGATTACTAACTGCGATTCATTATGCTTTTCCTGTGATTGTTCTAACCGTCTGTCTGTCTGACGTCAACCCTCGAACATGCAGGGCCAAACTTCGTGTATACACTTTTCATTTTGATTTTTACTGATATTTTTACAAATGGCTATTAACCTGACGAAAACGTATAATTCGTAGGACCAAACTTCGAGTTCACAGAGCTAACTGAATCCGCTTGCTAATGCCGATTTTGCAGTCGTGGCATTTTTAGTAAAATCATCCCATCCGTTTAGATGACCCAGGCAAATGACTGGCAATCCCAGTCAGGATGTCTGGGAACAAACCCAGGTTCCCGATTGCGAAGTCTGCGCGCCATACGCACATCCAACTTGCCCGGTGGAAAAAGAAAATAAATGGCTAACTAAAATGATTCCCGTCTTATGCAGAGCTTGCTCTTTGAGGCGTCGAGGAAGCGCCTCCTACTACTTTCGGTCTTGCCTGCATCTCACCGTCAACGAGTGGACGATTGGGCGGGGCAACATACGTTAGAGCAGCGAAATGGACGCTACGCAACGCCTCGTACACGCCACCGGCGCGAAGCAAAACCACGTTCCAAGGGGTACTCGTTTGGTGGTGCCCGTTCGTTGTGAAGAGAGCGCATGCCGGCTCGACTTCTTTTTCTAAACGGTCTATAGCCTTACCTGCAGCCTTAACGACCATTTCGCTTATAAAAGTTTTATACTAATCACTTGTAATGGATAGTCTGCCGCCAAGTCTTTGAACACAATGTCATCGAGTAGTCAATATTCAAAATCTCAAAATTAATTGTATTTTGATTTTCTCTAGTACGTATTACCGTAAAGGAAAATTCAATTAATTTCGAAAAATATCTGTCTCTAAATCTTAAGGAAACATTTTAACAATAAAGAAGTGAATGTAATAGAGAGGTACAAGCGATAAACAGTTTTGTTTATCTCAGTGGCAACATTTCGCCCTGAATTCCTTTTAGTAAATACACACCTCAAATGTACGATATGCAATTTAATGGGAATAGTCGTTAGAAAACAACTGTTTATCGCAAAAGAATCCTCACAGATACGAACATGAAACGATGTGCTGATAAACGTAATATAAAATGAGTACTACGGAATTCTTATCTTGATAAGCATGATCAGCATCTAGACATTTACGCAAATATCCCATCAAATTAATACATGTTTATTTTCCAAAATGAGAGACTTAAAAATTATCATTGTTTACGAGTACGATCTTACAGGAGAGTTAAATTATTTTTGCTTAATATTTAACGATTGTGTGAAATCTATACATGGATTATCCGATAGTGTAAATTTAACACAAATGGAAAATCCACCACTAATGAATTATAAACCTCGCAATATTTTGGCTTAGGATACTATGTAGTAAACTGCTTGATCGATCACACGACAGTGCCTCCTTAGTCTAGGGGAGTGAATCTCGTCCCGGGACGACAGGAACCATTTGCAAATCCCGGACGAGCACGTTATATTGTAATGAAAGAGTCAAACACAGTGAAGTCAATTCTGGTCTGCAACTCCCATGACGCTCGGCCCGTTGGTCTAAGTGTATGATTCTCGCTTTGGTCGCGAGAGGTCCCGGGTTCGAATCCCGGACGAGCCCATTATCTTGCAATAAAAGAGTAGACACCGTAATTTCATTCTTGTATGTTTTTCCCATAATATATGGCTCGTTGGGCTAGGGGTATGATTCTCGCTTCGGGTGCGAAAGGTCCCGGGTTCCAATCCCGGACGAGCCCATTATCTTGCAATAAAAGAGTAAACACCGTAATTTTATTCTTGTATGTTTCTCCGATAATATATGGCTCGTTGGTTTAGGGGTATGATTCTCGCTTCGGGTGCGAGAGGTCCTGGGTTCAAACCCCGGACGAGCCCATTATCTTGCAATTCAAGAATAGACCCAGTGAATTCATTTCTTGTGTTTCTCCAATATCGCGTGGCTCGTTGGTCCAGGGGTATGATTCTCGCTTTGGGTGCAAGACGTCGCGGGTTCAAGTTACGGACGAGCCCATTATCTTGCAATAAAAGAGTAGACAGCGAAATTTCATTCTTGTATGTTTCTCCCGTAATATATGGCTCGTTGGTCTAGGGGTATGATTCTCGCTTCGGGTGTGAGAGGTCCCGGGTTCAAATCCCGGACGAGCCCATTTTCTTGCAATAAAAGAGTAGACACCGTAATTTTATTCTTGTATGTTTCCCCCATAATATATGGCTCGTTGGTCTAGGGGTATGATTCTCGCTTTGGGTGCGAGAGGTCCCGGGTTCAAATCCCGGACGAGCCCATTATCTTGCAATAAAGAGTAGACACCGTAATTTCATTTCTTGTGTTTCTCCAATATTGCATGGCTCGTTGGTCTGGGGTATGATTCTCGGTTTCGGTGCGAGAGGTCCCGGTTTCAAATCCTGGACGAGCCCATTATCTTGCATTAAAGAATAGACACAGTTATTTCAATTCTTGTGTTTCTCCTGTATCACATGGCTCGTTGGGCTAGGGGTATGATCCTTGCTTCAGGTGCGAGAGATCACGGGTTCAAATCCTGGACCAGCCTATTTTCTTGTAATGAAATAGTCACAGTGAATTCAATTTTTTTTTCTTTCCTAACGGATGGCTTATTCTTCTAGGAGTATGTTTCTCTCGTCGGGCGCGAGACGTGCTGGTTGATATACCGACGAGCCCTTTTATTACCATTTATTTCTTCTGCAAAACTGAATATTACCTGTTCTTATTTTGTAAATATGACGTCGATCGACTCCGTTTATATACATTGATGTTAAAACATTGATTATACTCTACGAAACGCATTATTTAATCCTTATTTAATGCACAGCAAGTTATATATTATTAATATTCTGTACAGGAACTGCTCTGTTTCAAACAGGTCGTATTATTACTCTCATATTTTGAATAATATTCGTATCAAGTTGTTGATCTATAGCCACATTGCGTATTGAGCAATCATTTAGTAATCCTGCAGAATAGTCACGATTTGATTTGTCATATGTATTACATCCATGATCAACTACTCTCACTGACGTATAAGATCCTATATTCTATAACCAGTATGACATATGAGTACATCATAAAATGAATTAAAAAGTTTCGTTGACTCTTTTAAATTCCAGCGTGTTCATTAGCAGTGCCCTCTCGCGCTTCTTTCTCGACGTGCATCACTTGAATTGGACTCTAAAATATGGAATTAACTAAAGGTCTTTTTAGGAAAATAAATGTCCGGAAGAACACGTTGATTATTTCTGCCACTCTTATGGTCTATTAGTAAAACGCTGCCGTGTATGTGTACCAATCGACGAGTAATGAGGATTTAAAAGAAAGATTGACAGTATTCTTTTACAGTCTTCTCATACTCCTTCAAGACCAAGAATAATTTGTCTCCATGGTTGCCTTCAGTTAACAAAATATTTTTCAGATTTAATCTAAGTACTATTTTTACAAATCGTTATTTAATTTCTTCAAATATGCACAGTTTAGTTTAAAATGGGAACATTATTGAAAGATAATCCTTGAATGTGGTTCGCGTGACATGCGCGGGCCCGCTCGTCCTCATGGTTAGACAACTTCCAGTCCGCTGTTTCAGCCATGCAATATGCCATTCAATGCGTTTCTATCTGTTTATGAGACACTGTTAATTTATTTTCGGATCTTAGTTATACACTTAAAAACCGCAAATAAATAATATGCTCGCGGCACCGCACGACCGCCGCCCACCACCGTCACTGCCCCACAGCTCCGCCAACGTCCCTGCCACAGCGGAACCCGCCGCCCCCCTCCCCCGCCGGAGCTACGACCCTCCTCCTCAAGCCTTCACCGCTTCACCCCACCGCCTCGCCGCCTGCCATCGTCACGCCCCCGCCCTGCCCGTCACCCACCTGTCCTCCCACCCACTCGCCCACGCTCCCCCTCAAACCGGTCCCTGTGACCCCTGGCGTCACTGCTGCGCCCCCTCCCCCCATCGCCTCGTCACTCCCACCCTCGCCACCCGTGCCGCTGGCGCCTCTTGTCGCTTCTGCCTGCCTCCCCATCGATCTCGCTGCGGGGCGTGCGGAGGCGGGCTGCTTCGGCCAACGGCGGTCTTAATGACTTCATTGTCTTGACGGTGCGACGTCGCGCCTCCTGCCCGGGCCGCCCTCTTACGTGCATTGGGTTCGCTTTGTGGCGCCTGCTATAGATCTGCTGACTCTATCGAGCGATAATCCTTTGGAAGGTATATATTCCTCTATTAGAAAAGATGGCTCGGGTCATCAGCTGATAGTACTGCAGTGCCTCTCACCGGGTTGTCCTAGGTTCCAGTACTGACGGTGGTAGAATTTTCCACACTAGCATGTCAACTAGGTCTAATTCAGTGGCTGTCTCGAGGATAATTCTAGCGGCTGTCTGCTCTGTTTTTTTGTGATTTCTCCGATTGGCATCAGGTGAATGCCGAGGCGGTATGCTAACAAATGGGCCACTGACCGCGTGCGATCTTTTCTATCTCTTCCTTGTTCTACATTCAACTTTTACTCACACTCTAACTAACATGCACTACCACAAATGTCGAGAGAGCTTCGTGAGCCGGGTCGGGAGTTTAGAGCTTGCCCCGCCCCGCTGGGGCGGTGCCCTGCTGGTGGGAGACACCTGGTTGGGGAAATTCCTGCTAGTCGACGGTCGGTCGTCTAGCGTACAGCGATCTCGTCGTATAGCGGGGGCTCAACGGGAGGTCAACAGGGGTCCTGAGGGTCTAATGACCCTAGTAGTTGACGTGCCAGAAACCACAATCTATTGATCTTTAGACGACCGATTAAAGATTTTTTTAAATTTCTTTCTGCTTCACTCTTTCCTAATCAATATCCCACGTATATGTTACACTATTTGTCTATAATTCAGTTTTATCTTTGTTTTGGACACTTCACTCATAATCAGATATAATCTGGACTTCCTATTATTGCTAGGTTTTATTAACCCTGTTGAAATATGTTTGGTTTTCTGGCTTCCATTATTTGAGGAGTGGTCATGGTAAATGATGTAAGTGCCAAATTTAATATTTTCCAGAAACTTTTAAATACATAATAGATTATATTGAATAAGTTATTTATTCAATAAAAATAACATAAATTTTCCAACAAATAGTAGTAATAAATTTTCCTAGTAGATATAACAAAGTAACTGATACAGAAGTTAATGATTCACCTAATCAAAATTTGCATTTTAGTAAAATATATAAGGGTAATTGTGAGTTTCACAGAAAATTATACAAATGTCATTGCTTTACATTACAAATGAAATGCACACTCCTTCTACTTCCAGAAAATATAGTAGAACATACAGTTGTTACATTCATATGTACAATGTTGTGATTCACTAACAAATACTTTTGCATACACCAAATTCCACACCTTTTTAAATTTCTGTTTGCCCCAATTCTGACTTTTACCCTTCCTGAAAATGTTGCAGAATTTCTATTCTTCAAGATCATAAAATGATTTTTCTATTTTTATTTCTCTATAACAAGTTGCGTTTATTTACATGAAATAGTGCTGATCTTGAGATTTTTTGTATTAATATATATGTCACCGTCTACAGCTAGATAAAAAAATTATAGTTTCATGTCAATCACTTCAAATGTATTCTTTAAACGTACAGATCTCACTCTGTCTTCAAATTCCTTTGGTTCCATATCTTTGCTTAGCCCTTTACGTTTTTCAAATAATACCAAACTCTCCTTCACAACCCACATAGCTGTGATCTGCCACAAGGAACGTTTGTTCAATTTGATGAAAATGGGTATTTGGTCAATGTTATTATTTTCTGTCTCTTAAGGATTCTAATTTGTTTATCGTAGACAACAAATTTCTTCAGTAGATGTGAAAAGTAAGAAATTCTCTTACACAAATCATATAAAATTAAAATATTTAAATGAATATATTACTTAAATTCTTAAATGGCTTTCTACAACACAGCAAACCTCATCTGCTCCTCAGTATCAAACCTTTAAACGGCAGTAACATCAACTACTGCCGAAAGAGAATTTGGAGTTACACCGCACACCATCTATTAGGGTACCTAAAAATATTAAAATTTTGGAGCACACTTCTGCCAGATGCAAAGGCATTGGCATGATACATAAACAAATTTCCACGAAAAAACTAAATATTCTCGGAATTCCCCTTTTCGAGATGGAAACGGCTCTACCTCTCGGGACAAAAATTGATTTAGCGAAATACCGCCCAACGGGAGGAAATGCATCAAACATGTGCGGTTTTGGATGGGTTTTCAGATTGTGAAGAAATTTAAAAAAACACCAATTCAACGTTGACGGTAAGTTTTATTTTTTTTCATGATACATGATTTTTCATTAATCACTATACAGTATTTCAGTAAAACTCTTGAGAGTGAATATGTGTGGACATGCGGATGTGTGTTTTTGCCATTCCGTCACTGACGTCCAGTCTACTTCGTGTTCACCAATGGAGGCTTTTGAGGTGTCATTCGACGGCTCTCGGTCTTTTGAAGAACTAATAATTGTTTTCGAATCCCGACAGAAGATTTAAAGAAATTCCCAAAAACCTGTCTTTTCATGTTTTGGCGTTGCGATTTTAGCGATAAACCAGGAATTAAACCAACGCATCCTAAACCGATTAAAGTAGGTGGCATTGATTAAATAAGAGAACCCAAAAACATTGTTTGCTTAATACGCCATAATATTATTTTGGCAACAATGTTGACATCTTTATTTGCACAATTGAGTTACCAAGAAAATAGCGCGGCAGTTTGATATCAATTTAGAGTCGAATTCTTACCATATGTTTTAAAATAAATTTGCGAATACCTACGAACAGTATTGCCTCGGAACTTATTAAACTTGACAATTTCCAAGTGAATATGGATAAAACAAAACTGTGAGTAATGCTAGACAATGAATGAATGTTATTTTCGACTTCGCACTTTTACGTTCTTACATAAGTGTGCAAATACCGGTTTTAAAATGAATGTGACCCACAACGAGTTCTTATTCAAATTAACTAACTCCTTATTCACTTACACATAAAAAACAGTCTCCTTTTAATATTAGATTTGCATGCAACCCTAGATTCGCATACAACACGATTAATCGAGCAATTGCAGGAATAGAAAAGAACACAAATGGGACTGAGTTTGCGAAATTTTAATCTCTTCAAAAATTGGGGGAGAAAACATGAAAGATTTAAGGAAATCTGGGGAAGAATCAAATGTAGTTATAAAACATTTTGAGGTAGAATTTTCAGAACTAACTTGGAATCTAATTTTGATCTGCATTTTTGCATTTAGCATTTGTACTACTGCCAATTGCTATGTGTATTTTTTGTACATATTACCAAAAAAGTGTGAAAATTGTGCTGTACTAATATTTAACTATTATCATCATCATCAAAACCTGTATTTTTTTACAACGATTATAATTTTGTAATTGCAAATTAGACCAGTTTATAACCCGTATGTAGATAACACACAAGGCCATTGGGTGTTAGGAACTTTTGAACGGGAGTATAACAATACAGCTACTACAGATTCATTGGTGAGTCCAATGCCATTTACTGAAAGAACAAATTTATACAAAGCTTGGCTTGAAAGAAATGAAGTGGGAAAAAATTTTCAATGCATGAAACTATTTTTAAAACAGTTTAAAGCGTCGACGGCGCCACATTTTTCTAGTCATTTATTAATTTGCTAAAATGTACTTTGGGAAGTGAGTAATGTTTGTTTTTAGACCTCTTGTGTAGGGTGTGTTCAAAAAGTCATACTCATTTGTAGTGCACAACATGAGTATATATCACATTGGCAGTACTTTAATTTAATTTTAGATCATCCTATTTAAAATTAGTATTTTTTGGAAGTACAGTTTCACAGGAAGCATTTCCAATTAAGCCATAGGGAATAAGCATGCTTATGCAAGCATTTCTGTGGTAATATTTTTAAGTGCGGATATTTAAAAGAAGCAAGAAGACTGAAAATGGAAATGCCGGGAAATTATTTTCTCTCTTAAAGTACTCCTTCCATCTGCTGTAGTCATAATAAAAGTCGTAGCTGTTTTTTAAATATCAAGATGTAGCTCATTATTAAAAAAGTTTAAGTTTTTATATAAATATTATAATTAATTACAATGTTCGCAAGCAAAAAAATAAAACTAAACAAGCATTTCATAGACTCACTATCTCAAGAGTGACTAGCTTCTAACACAACTATTTTAATGCAATTTCAAATTTTCTGCTTGTAATGTTGAATTTTTCTTATTGGGCGGAATTGGGTGAATTTACAACCATGTAACGGGGAATGTTTTTACGAATAATTTGGCAGCCCTGCTTATCATGATCACTGCTCATTTACTTGATATGTTCTGAATTTAATTCTTCATAAAATTTTTAAGTTATCTTAGGGTTTAGCTACCAGCTTTTGTTGTCTAGCTATTGTGTAGCTATGTGATTAATACTCAGTTTTCATTCAATATATCTGTTCTTTGACACTTTCATCCTTTCGTGTTTTAAAAAACAAGCTTTAAATAATTCCAACATTACTTTCTTCATGATTAAGTTGTTTAAAACTCTCTTTTGCAATGCCTTTCCTACTTTCAATTTCCTGATAATAGATAAAGTTGTTTAACACCATAAAATTAGTTGAAGTATGTAATAAACGCAAGTGCATGCATGCTCAAACGGGCCGTTAGAGAAATACTGAAGTCGAATATTCCACGCATTTAATTGGGCCCTTTAACATCTACGATAAACGTCTCGTTAATGCGAGGATTTTTAACATGAATGGGAGATATGCTAGTATCTTTGCACAAGTCGGAAACGTAAGAAAACTCGTAATAAAATCGGAAGTGCAAACAAACAAGATGGGTGATTCTGGGTGAGCCTAGAGTAAACACTGCGCTCTGCCTTTACGATTCGGAACAAATTCCATTTATGCCACGTAAAGTATTAAGCAGAACGCTCTCATCACATGAATGATCACAAGGCAGTCTTTAGCGTTTTACGTTATATATTTTCACGCGTTTCCAAACCGCTCC